AGCCCCTTCTGCCCCGCGGCTCCTGCTGGGTGGGCAGCCGGCCCAAGCAGTGGCTCTGAGCCCACAAGGTTACACACACACGACCAAGATCGCCATGCTCTGGCATGGACAACTAGAGGAAAGCAGGCAATGAAACAGGCTTTTTGAGAAATACTGGTTGAATTCCAAAGTTGATATTATCAAGAAAGCCACGGTGCATTTCTTCTTTTTTCTCTTTTCTTTTATGCTTCGCTCTCTGCAGCTTACATCAAAGAGCACCAAGATCTCCTCTGAACAAGGTATATCCAGCATGATCCAACTCAGTATCACTGACTCCCTCATGATGTGAGCCTTTGATCACTCCTTCTTTCACACATCCTGTTGAAGCCACATAATTATGAAGAAGTTTTAGTGCAAGACAAGCAGGCAGTCTAGTTCCTCTATTAAATGTTTTCAGAAAACACAATTCCTAATAGGGTAGGCATCAATAAGCACAAATAGGGATGAGCATTCATAAAGTTATTGCATAAAATCAAATGACCCAAATGAGGGATGTGACTGGAAAGTTTTAATGCTGCAGTCTATGGTCCTTGCTTATATCTCAAGTACATGAGTAATATGTCATGAGCATTGAGCGTCATGAACACATGAGCATTATCTCTAAAGTCAATGAAAAATTAATGCAGGTAAAGAGATTTCCATAGTTCAGCTGATTTTATCAGTGATTCCCTGACACACAGAGTTGTTATGTGTGTTGAAATATTCTCTTAACAGCAATGAATTTTGCAAGAATTTCAAGTTTTTAATGTTTTCCCTTTAGAAAGAGGTTCATAAATACGAATACCATCACTATATCAAAAACTGCACCAAAGCGGCCCTTATTCATATTCCACAGAGAGATAAGAATGTGTGGAGATGTTCACCAACCTGTCAAAGTTCATCGCTCGCTCTCACAGTGGCACTAATGCCCAGCACTCCTGGTGCTCAGTCCTGTGCTTTAAAGACAGGATCCCATTCAACAGAGTAGCCTTGGTAGCCACGTGTTGTACCTTGGACAACAGCAATGGACAAATATGGCAGCGAAAGCCATACCCCAGATTGCTGACAGGATGGATTATTGCTCCTGTTATATATGTGTATGCAGAGAACTTGAGGCCCTGTAAAGAACCCTCTAGAGAAGAAAGAACTTGCTCTGGTCCATACTGGAAGTCCACAATAAAGTCGATGACCAAAGGACACTCTTCAAAATCTCAAAACAAACAAACAAAAATAACTCCCCCACCAACCCCAAAAAAGGTAGGAAAGAAACTAAAAACCTTTGAATTTAAATAGCAGCTAATTCTCTCAGTACCTATGACTTACTTTGTTTTCTCTAATTATTATTTCATTTGTAGGCTTAATCAGAGCAGGCTTTTTTTTTTTTTTT